GCCTCAGTAAGAATAAAGGTGGGTTTTGTTGGTACCTCAAAGTGAACAAGGGCCAAGCAAAACTCATCGAGGGCAACCCAGACAAAAAGGCCAATGACGATGACTTCTTGTGGGTGTCCGGTCGATATGAAGACACCGAGGCACCCGTACCGGGATGGTATATTAGGAAAGATTTTGGCAGTGCTAGTGAGTAGTCCGGCTGACCGCACTATATTCTTTCTGCATTTTTTTTTTCATCGGTCTAACACTCGTCTTCTTTTGCAAATAAGCACTTAGCAGCAGATTACTACCGCGCTAATCAGGAGGCCATCGGAACGTTGTTGCGCCATCCGGCCGAAGAACAGGAGTCATCGAAACTCCTCGGCTTCGAACAGACCTACTACTACACTGCACCGCGCAAGAGCCGGGTTACCGAATTTCTACGTGCGCCATCCCCAGAACCAGATCCAAACCTACCACCGATCAGACTTGTTCCTCTCACCGCCGAGCAAGAAATAGCGAAGATCCGGGCAATCAAGTCCATGATCACCGGAGAGGAAGGCAGGTCCCAACCACTAGAGGCAACCGGGGGAACATCCTCCACCCCAGCCGGGCAAACAGAAGGAGCTGTGCTGGCATTGGCCAACGAGCAGGCGGCTGGCCGGTCAAAGAAGAGGCAGAGGAAGGACCGATCAGGCCAACAATTGGTTGATGAAGACTCGGCCGAACACGCCTCAACCGAGTTGGGTGATCAGACCGATCAATAACTACTAGGGCCATCCCAGAGCCCAACTACCCCCCCGGTCTGGGCACCCGAGTACAAATACCAGGGCCGGGCTGTCACTGCCGCCGACTCGGTCTACGCCGACAAGAACCACTCGCTTGGTTTTGGAATGTAACCGGGCTATGTCCTCCCTCCCTTGTGTACTGCAAATTTCTCAATGAATGAAAGTTTTGAACTTTTTGCCCATTTAACTTCTATTGCTTTTTGGCTTCGACGTGCAAAATTTCCTTAAACGTGTTCAAACTTCAACTAGCAGTTCGGCTCCTTTGAAATTTCAAATGCACCTTTTAATTTGCCGAGCAAAATCTGCTCGGCTCTAAATTGAGGGCTCATGTATGGGGCCGAGCAAAATCAGCTCGGCCTTGACGGGTTTGCAAACTTTATAAAATTCCAGTACTTTAATGTGACCGAGCAAAAACCAGCTCGCCCTTTCAGTTGGGTAGATTGCCAACATTTCACTTATGTCGAGCAATGTCAGCTCGGCTTCTCATTAGTTGGACAAAACACCAACATGCCCAATTGGGCCGGGCAAAGTCAGCCCGGCCGCTACATTGGGCAAAACACCAATGTTTCATTTAAGTTGGTCATGTCGCCAACATTCCAATTGGCCGAGCAAAACCCAGCCTGGCCCTTACGTGAATCATTCGCCAATCATTTCTTTGGGCAATGCACCAACTGTTTGTGCGGTCTGTTTCCATTCCGGCGAGAGGAGATTAGTCCGGTCCCATTCAGGTCGGTCTCTTTGCCCCTGGCACCCATAATTGTCTTGTATCCTTGTGATGCCATTGTACAGAGATGTAATACCAGACAACGAGAGGGCTATTTTTCATTACAAAATACCGTGCTATCTCTTACATCAAAATGCCAAGAGGCTCAAAGTTACATAAATCTAAACAACAAAAGCGATTACATCTTAAAAGTAAAAGACCTTAAGATTGGCTGCGTTCTAAGGTCGAGGGACAACCTTGCCATCCGAATCTTCCAAATGGTATGCCCCTTTGCCGGCAAGACCAATCACCTTGTATAGTCCTTCCCAATTTGCACCGAGCTTTCCTTCGCCAGGGACCACCGTATTGCCAAGCACCTTTCTTAATACCCGGTCCCCAATCTTGAATAGCATGGGGTGCACAGCCTTGTTGTACTTTTTGGAGAGTTCTTGTTGATAAGCCGCTATGTGGATCAATGCTCGCTCCCTCTTTTCTTCAGCAAGGTCCAGCTCCAATGCCACCACTTCATTACTCAAATCTGGCTGGAAACTTTCAGAGCGGATGGTTGGCATTCCAATTTCCAACGGGATGACGGCCTCCATGCCATAGGCCAAAGCAAATGGTGTTTCCCCGGTCAACCGCCTTGGCGTAGTGCGTTATGCCCAAAGCATATTAGGGAGTTCTTCAGCCCATTTGCCCTTGGCCTTCTCAAGCCGCTTCTTCAGCCCGTCCAGGATGGTCTTGTTTGAGGCTTCTGCTTGACTATTTGACTGAGGATAGGCCGGCGTTGAATTGTAAAACTCGATCTTCAACTCTTCGCAAAATTCGCGAAAGAGTTTTCCATCGAATTGAGTGCCGTTATCCGAGATGAGGGCCTTGGGTATACCGAAACGGGTGATGACACTTTGCCATACAAACTTCTTCACATCCTTTTCCTTTATGGTTGCCAATGGCTCGACCTCAACCCACTTCGTGAAGTAGTCAGTGGCGGCGATGAAGAACTTGCGATTGCCCGGGGCCGTTGGGAGTGGCCCCACTATGTCCAATCCCCAGAGTGCGAACGACCAAGGACTTGTAAGGGGGAGCAGTTCTCTTGCTGGCTGATGGATCTGATGAGTGAACTTCTGACATTTTTCACACCGGCGAACGTACTTCTGCGCGTCCGCCTGCATACATGGCCACCAATAGCCCTGAGAAATTGCTCGGTAGGCCAAAGATCTGCCCCCAGTATGGCTGTCGCAAATGCCTTCATGGATCTCATAGAGGAAGGCTTCCACCTTAGAGGGGTGAACACACTTCAAGTACGGCCCGGCGAAAGACTTCTTATACAAGGCTCCGGAAGGAGAGAGTCAAAACCGCTCTGACTTGGCTCGGACCTTGTTGACCGTCTTCTTTTCTTCCGGCAGAACTCTATCTCTCAGGAAGGCGATGATGGGATCCATCCAGGAAGGACCCAAGTCGGTGCAGAGTACCTTGGCTGATTCTGGTTCCTCAATGCTTGGTCGGGGTAAAAATTCTATCATTAAGGTGTTGGGAAAAGCTGTCTGAGTGGAAGCGAGTCCAGCCAATTCGTTAGCCGTGTTGTTTTCTTCGCGGTTGATTTGTTCCATCCTTATGGCGGCGAACTTCTTGATTTCTGTGCGTACCAGCGCCTGATACTTGGCCATTATTTCATCCCTTGCTTCATACTTCCCTAAGACCTGATTGACCACCAACTTGGAATCACTGAATACCATAAGGGCTGTGGCTTTCATTCTCAGCACGCTTCTTAGTCCGGCAAAGAGGGCTTCATACTCAGCCTCGTTGTTGGATGCTAGGAAGCCGAGTGTAATTGCCTGCTCGATGATCAGCTGGTCCGGTGAGGTCAGCACGATGCCCAACCCGGCCCCATGCCTGTTGGATACCCCATCGACGAAGAGCTTCCACATCTCGCCAGTGAACAGCTTCCAGCAATCAGACGGGTTTTGGGAGGTTCTCAGTTCCAAGTTTCTGGTCGGCCCATTCTGGTCTTCCCATTTTGGTCTTTTTCCTTGTCTTGATTGGGTTCATCTTCGCCGGACTTTGTTAGTTCGGTCGTGCTTTGCCCTTCTCCTACTTGCGAGCCAACACTTGTTTTTGTTGCCAGAACCATGGGTTGTGCTAAATCCGCACCAACCAAATCAATCGGGCAGACTGGATGCATCCCAGGGGCAAATTCCGCCACAAAGTCAGCAAGTGCTTAAGCCTTGATTGCGATGCGCGGTCGGAACTTGATGTCATATTGCCCTAATTCCACGGCCCATTTCAAAATTCTCCTAGTGAAGTCTGCCTTTTCAAAAAGCACCTTGAGCGGGAACTCGGTTAACACAACTATTGTATGGGCATGAAAATAGTGTGCTAGCTTTCTTGACGCCATCATTAGGGCCAACACCAATTTTTCCAAGGGAAGATATCTCGTTTCGGCTGGGAGCAGAGTCTTGCTTACATAGAAGATCGGTAGGTGCTGGATGCCTTCAGCACGGACTAATACCGCGCTAACCGCGTGTTGAGAGACAGCCAAGTAGAGGTACAACTCTTCGCCTGGCTGAGGTGTGACCAAAATAGGGGCTGAGGAGAGATATGCTTTCAGGTCTGCTAGTGCGCGGTCGCACTCATCATCCCAAAAGAACTTGGACTTCAAAGTTTTAAAGAAGGGCCTGCAACGATCCAAAGACCGGCTGATAAATCTGTTCAACGCGGCTGCCATCCCGACAAGATGTTGCACGTCCTTCGTGGAGTTAGGACACTCCAGCTCTTGTATTGCCTTGATCTGTGATGGTCAGCTTCGATTCCCCGGTTTGTAACCAGAAAACCCAGGAACTTCCCAATGCCAACTCCGAAGGCGCATTTGGAGGCGTTCAGACGAAGCTTGTGATGCTTTAGGATGGCAAACATTTCTGCTAGGTCAGCGAGGTGTTGAGACTTCTCCCTACTCTTCACCACCATGTCGTCGATGTAGGCCTCCATTGTTCGGCCTAAAAGAGGAGTGAACATCTTTGTTACCATCCTCTGAAAAGTCGCCCCAGCGTTCTTCAGTCCGAACGGCATGACTTTGTAACAATATAAGCCCCTGGGAGTGGTGAACGATGTGATCTCTCAGTCCAGTCTATACATAGCTATTTGGTGGTAGCCGCGATATGCGTCCAGGAAGCTAAACCTCTGATGGCCAGCGGTTAAGTCCACCAGCTGGTCAATTCGTGGGAGGGGAAAGCTATCCTTGGGGCAAGCTCGGTTGACAGTCTTGTAGTCAACGCAGACTCGCCACTTGCCATTCTTTTTTGGGACTACCACCGTGTTGGATATCCAACGAGGGTATTGCACTTCTTCTATCGCTCCTGCTTCCAACAGATTTTTGACCTCCTCTGCCACTACCTCGGCATGGTGCACTTTGGATTGACGGGCGTGCATGAGGAAGACATTCAACTTGAATGTGCAAGATGAGCTGTCAGGCAGCAGCATATGTAGGCGTCCACGCAAAGGACCTACCAAATTAAGAGCAGAATTTGAACTATCTACCGCTCGGCGCTCGACAAAGATGATCCCAAGAGGAAGAACTTAGTCGGGTCGTCCTCGTCGATGCGCACTTCAACCAAATCCTCTACCGATTTTTCCTCGGCCTTTCTTCCTACGTCTTCAAGGACCTCCTTCCCCTCAGGCCCCTCAATCATCTGGACGAACCCTTTGGCTGCTCGGCTGCCATTTACCGCAACGAAGCATTGTTTTGCCATCACCTGGTCTCCCCAAACCTCTTCGATTTGCCCGGTGGGCGCCGAAAAGCGCATAACTTGATGGAAGGTAGACGCAACTGCTTGCATGGCGTGCAACCACCCCTGCCCAAAATTAAGTTGTATGTGGATGAAACTTTTAGCACCTAGAATTCCACCTGCTTTACTACAGAACCCGCTCTGACCTGTAAAATGATCTTTCCGATCAGCCACTCTGGTTGAGAGTTGAAACCAACCAAGGGGGACGTCGCGGGAGCCAAGTCTTTGTCCTCCAGCTTCATTTGCTTGAATGCATCATAATACATAATTTCGACCGAACTCCCCTGGTCGATCAAAATTTTTTTAATATCAAAGCCTTTGACGCGAAGAGTTACCACTAAGGCATCATTGTGGGGTATCTGGATCCTTTCTAAATCCTTGCTTGTAAAGGTAAGGACGTCTTTTGGCTCGGTTTTCCCACTCTTCACAGTGGGCTGAACAGAGAGCACTTCCCTCATATGCTCGGCCTTCTTGATCATCCCTCTCAGCTCACAGACCCTGGCTGGTTCAATGATACCATGGATAATGTTGATTACACCTTGCGGGGCCGCATCCAAGGCGGCTAGGCCATTTGGCTCGGCTTGCCCTGATGGTGCGGCCTTCATTTCCCCATCTATGTATTGGTCAAAATGTCCAGCCGCCACCAACTCCTCCAAGTGTTGTTTGAGCGGCAAGCAATCCTCCGTTCGGTGGCCCCGTTCTTCGTGGAAGGTGCAGCGATATTTCGAATTGAAGCCCCTCTGCGCACTCTCCAACTTGGCCGGCCAACAGACGAAGGGTTCATCTCGAATCTCGCTCAAAACGCGGTAGATGGGGATTTTAAAGACTGTGGTGATTCCAGTCCGTGCCTTCAATTTTCTTTTGGCATCCTCCGCTGCATCACGGGGAGTGTCAGCCCGGTCGTTTCGGCGGCCCTTGTTTCTGTCATCACGGTTTGAACCATGGCGCTGATCTTTTGACCGGTTGTTTGGGCGGTTATCCTCCTGCCCAACCGAGTGAACTTTCCCTGCCACCCTTCTGTTCGTCGCGACCGGATTAGCCTTCTCGGTCGCGGAGGCAGCATCATCCTCCACACGAATGTACTCATTGATCCGCTGCATCAATGACTCCATGGTTATGGATTGATGCATCGTGAGTGAATCTCGCAGCCTATGTCCGACTGGGAGACCCCGTTTGTATTGAGTGATCACCAGATTAGTGGGGCAATCGAGGATCTCATTGTAAGTTTCCCAGTATTTCGCATTGTATGCCTTCAACAAACATCCAGACTCCATCTTGACGCCCAGGAGATGGTCGACCTCCTTCGGCGTTCGTGTGTTGGTTTTGAATCTGGTGACGAAGGCTTCCGCTAGTTGCTGCCACCCCTCAATACTCCCCTCCGGGAGCCTTTCGGCCCATTTCAAACCCAGCTCTCCCAAGCTTGCTGGGAATATGAGGCACATCAAGGCGTCGTTGCGCCGGTGGCCAGCCATTACTTGCCGGTAATGGCTCACATGCATGTACGGATCCGTCTTGCCGTCGTACAAAGTGAACTTTGGCTGGTGGAATCCGCAATAAGAATGTTTCTCTCTAACTTTCTCCGTCCTTCTCTATTTTGTTCTAGAAACTAATTAGCTTAGGCCACTAATTGTTTCATTAGCTTAAGTGGCCAAGTTTAACTCAAACTAACCTTGCTTAGCCTCTAAGAAAGAGAATTTTTTGAGTAATTATAGCTTAACGATATTAGTTTAACTTAAGCACCTCATTTTAGATTTTCTAAATCACCTAAGTGTTCAATTCTCAAGTCTGAAAGGATGAATTTGAATTGCCTTTGATTTTCTTCTTATTTCTTTTTATTTTCTCTAACGTTTTCTTCTGCCTCTGAAGAAGAATGTTTCTCTCTAACTTTCTCCGTCCTTATCCATCATTCTCTATTTTGTTCTAGGAACTAATTAGCTTAGGCCACTAATTGTTTCATTAGCTTAAGTAGCCAAGTTTATCTTAAACTAACCTTACTTAACCCTTAAGTAAGAGAATTTTCTGAGTAATTGTAGTTTAACGATATTAGTATAACTTAAGCACCTTATTTAAGATTTTCTAAATCACCTAAGTGTTCAATTTTCAAGTCCAAAATGATGAATTTGAATTCCCTTTTATTTTCTTTGTATTTCTTTTTCTTTTCTCTAACTTTCTTTTCTAGCTCTCAATAAGAATGTTTATCTCTAACTTTCTTCATCTTTCTCCATTATTCTCTATTTTGTTCTAGGAACTGATTAGCTTAGGCCACAAATTGTTTTAGTAGCTTAAGTGGCCAAGTTTAACTCAAACTAACGTTGCTTAGCCTTTAAGAAAGAAAATTTTCTGAGTAATTATAGTTTAACGATAATGCTAATGCATCGTTTGCACGTAACAAACAAATAAACGAAGCAAGCTCTCGTGTTAGGGCTGAAAATAAATTGAGCTTTTTACGAAATGCTTGGGGAAATCTTGAGCTTGATTTGTTTAAAACTTATTTGAATTTGACTTGTTTGATAATTGAATCAACTCGAGCCAAAATTTTAATCTCGTATAGTAATCGAACCAAGTTCCCTCAGAGTTTGGATATTGCTCGTGAATAAGAACATAATATTTGTTTTTAATAATATATAAAAAAATATATATTTTTAATTTATTTTATTTTCCTATTTATATTTAGTGCTTTTGCAAATTTATATATTTTGATTGATGATTTTTTTTATTTATATGAATATTCTTTTATATTTTGCTCATATCTTCTTCGTTTTCTCTTCCTCTTTCTCTCTTATGCTGTGTTTAAATCATGAATTTTGGTAAGATCTCTATCCAAATATATGATCCAAACACAACCTTAATATATATTAAATTAAGTTCAATTTCCTCCTTCCTCCCATTTTCTAGTATAAACTTAAAGAGAGGTGAGAGAAATGCTTTCAAAAAAGAGTTAATAAAAATAAAAAAATAAAATCAGAATTTGATTATTGTAATAAAATAAATTTTTTATTTTTAATTTAAACTTTAATATTTTGATTTGTTTTTAATCTAAAAATTTGTTTATTTCCGTTAAATAAAATCAATAGAAAATAGTATTTTAACTATTAAATTTAATGTAATTGTACATAAAATATTTGCTCTTTCATTAAGTTTAATGACAATTTTATGTTTTTTGATTGGGTTTAGACAAGGAAAATATAGATATAGTTTAGATTGAAAATAAATTAATATTTAAATTGATAAAATTAAAAGATTTATTTTATTACAAGGTTAAAACTTGAGATTTTTTTTTAATACTATTATTAGTATTATTATTATATTAGATTTAAATTTCTACATATATGATCTCATGATTTACTGTTGAGGTGGTGAAGGCCAATTAGCGGCTGCCAAGCGGCGGATCTCTTCTTGGATCTGCTCTTCAGTTAATCTTATTTGTTGATTAATAAATTCTAATTGCTGATTAATATGTGGTTGTAAATACCAATCTTGTAATTGGTTTGATCATAAGTTACGACGTTGAATATAAAATTCTAATGCTTCACGTAATTCAACAAGTAAATTTACAGACATACATAAATATAAAAGAAGAGAAGAAAATACTTACAATCAGAGTCTTCAAAACAGCATAGTTCGTCAATACTTAATTTATATATCATAAACTGAGAAAATTTACAAGAGAGGAAAGAGAGGTACACTCCAAAGCACTCTGAAAGAGAAAATCTTAAAGCTAAAAAAAACTCTGCCTCAACAAGGGTGAGGGTATCCCTTAAATAAATAAAAAAAACAATAGTAAAGGTAAGATAAGGTAGAGGACAGGTGGCGTGTCCTGAATAGCTAGGAGTCGATCGGCCTTATTCTCATGGTTGAGTGGTTTTTACTTTTGACTCAGAATCCTTATCTTTGTTGAGCTGGATTGGGACAGCTGGACTGTCCTGTGCTGGATGACAGACCAAGTATCTGCTTTTCTGAAAATATCTTCACTGTTGGTTGTCATTTTACGCCGACACTCTTGGTGAATCTTACTGGTAGGGGGACAAAGGCTCATGCTTTGCCTTTTCTTTTTTTATCTTTTTCCCTGTCAATCTTTTCGGCAATCATGCTGGTAAGTGAATCCCAAAAATCACCATAGTTGTGTTCATCATCTACAGGGTCCTGTGATTCTCCAGCTAGACAGTAAATTCATTTTCATCAGGGTCTGGATCTTCTTGGTCTTGACTGCCAGTAACGAATTTCATGGAGGTGTCGTCACTGGAAATAATTTGGAGAAATTATTCCTTCATGAAATCCATGCTTTTGATAACTAGTTCTGTTTCTGACAAATTCAAATATTTTTGGCGTAATTCTGTTTGAATTTGTAAAAAAGGGTTTTGAATAACCGGTTGGCTAGGAATTGTTTTGGGAACAGCATCCCAACAAGCTTGAGCGTGTGCCTTGATCTTTTGGACCTTTTGGACAGTTTCTGGTAGAGTGGGATTCATACCCTTGTCCCACCATCTCACAAAAAAACTTTTTTGAGACGCGGGATTTATTCTGGTAATCGCACTGGAAATCCCATTTCCATATCCATGGAATACTAAAATGGATGGTAAAATGAACCAAGGATTTGGTCATGGAAATATCTAAATGTCCTGGTAAATGAGAATAAGCAATTTGCCATTCATTAAAAGCTTCACGGATGGATACTAGTAAAACCTCAAGTTGTAACCCAAATTTATCCCTCCAAACGAAAAACCAATTAGGTAAATCGTTTTTGAGAACATCGGGACAAATACGGAAAAACCAAGAGTGATTGCGAATGGGATTCTGGTAATAAAAAGCATAAGTAAATGCATCGATATCGTCTCAATAACTGTAACGAGTTTCCCTGTTACGAATGTCAAGTTGACGAGTGGTGTGTAGATGAATGCCCCATGTAGAAATGGGCATGATATTGCGGATTGTCGTTTTACTAAATTGGATAGGACTGGCAGTTTTGGAAGGATTATACAAAGTATGCTTGATTTCCATGGCAGTAGTCTCAATGAGTATCTGTTCACAAATATAGCGGTACTGGTCAAAATGGGAAGGAAATTGTTGAGTCATAAGATAACGACGCTTAATTTCCAATGGATTAGTCATCCATTTTTCATCTGCTAGTTTGATTTAAAGAATTGTTTCTTTAGTAATACTGTTAGGAATGTACTATTTAGAAGTAAGGAGGACATCCTTAGTAGATTGACTAGAGGATTCCCCTTTATTACTGTTAGAGGCTTGTAGCACTAGAAATTCTGTTGTATATGGATCCTGGTAAGGGTTTTCCCTGCCTCGGCCTCAACGACTTGGGCCATGGCCACTTCTACTGGTCATGATCCCTGCAAATATTCACGGGTTAAAAAGTCTGGTAGAGAGTTCTATCTTTAATATATTCAATATCAAAGTCAAATGCTGATAATGTACTCTACTAATTTGTAAATATCTGTTTGACCGCTGAACAATCAACACGAATTAAAAATTGTTGATTTAATAGGTCATCCAGATATTTTAAAACACGTTTAACAATTGTTAAACATTCTTGTTTAATCGTTGAATAATTTAAAGCAGCTTTAGTCCAATTTTCTGATGTAAATCTTAATAACTTTTCTTTTTGACTGGTAGGGTTAAACTGTTTTAAAATACCTCCATAACTATAGTTAGAGGCGTCAGTTTCCACTATTTTATTCTATTCTAGATTTGGTAAAGCAAGACAGGGAAGTTGTTTTACTTTAGTTTTAATTTTCTGTACTGCAGCAGTGTACGCATCTGTCCAATGAGAAGGGTTTTTCTTTAATCTAGTGTAGAGGATAGCAGTATCCTAGGATAACTGATGATAATAGTCTCTAATATAATTTAGACTACCGAGAAATCTTTGTAATTGAGTTTTATCTTTTATTTCATCTGGAAATTTGGAAGCAAACTCTATACTTCTATCAATTAGTATAATAGTTCCATTATGAATATTATGACCAAGAAAACGTACTGTTGTTTGAAAAAGTTTAATTTTTGCTGCAGATATAACTAAACCATTTCTGATAATAACATGCTTAAAAATATTAAGATGTTTAAGATGTTGGTCTATTGATGAGCAGAAAATAAGAACATCATC